GTCGTCTTCTCCAGTGACATAGTGGGATTTCTCAGCAAACTTCGACTGGCTTGTATGGCTTCTTTTTAGCACCAATTTTGATGCGGTTTGTTATGTTGGACTCATCTCAATGAGCACTTCACACTGGTATGTTCAAAATTTGATTTCGACATCTTCAAAAATTATAATTTTCTAAAAAGGTGGTCCATTTTGTAACTATCGACAGACGTTGGTTAAATTTTTGGTTCTTCTAGTTGGTGGGTCGGGACTCCTCTAGTCAGCATGAACCTTCTGGTATATTTAGATCTTGATATTAACACCTCCAAAATCTTGGACCAATTGAAGTCGAGATGCTAGTTCTATGCCGAGACGACTTTACGGTTGTAGCCAACACGATTAAGGATATATACTTGCACCATTTAAGTGAGGACGATTATTGTCGATGAGCATGGTGATGGAGTTGTGGTGCCATGCGTCCCAAAAACAGTCGAGTGGTTGTGCGAATTTTAACAAGTTAGTAGCCGAATGACTAATGTGTGTTTGAGTAATGTTGATGCACTGCTAATTAAACCATAAGATCGTTACAGAAGATATAGATAAATTAATAATTGTAAACACACTTGAGCTATATATATATATATTTGTTGGTGTTTAAGAAGATGACAAATGGTGCAAAGGCGAATGTAAACAAAATTCAAGTTGTGGGTCCTGCCCCAGGTGGCAGTAGATGGCCAAGAGATGAATGAATGATTGGTGAAGATGGATGATTGTGGCCTAGCGCTCCAGAAGCCTGCTGTCAAAATTGCATATTGATCGGACACGATTTGACCATTGATCTATCATTTAATGTCCCCTTGCAAATTTGGACTCTGAAAATGGATTCTACACGGCGAAAACCTTGAGGGTAGTCATGCCTGAAGTTATCGGACCACTCGATTAACCCAAACGTGCTAAGATGCAATGGAGCACCTTGTGTCGAGAAGCGCATGATAAAAGAGCTTGGCAAGGCTCGTGATGGGTCATTGAATTTGCACTCGAACAATCGGGGTAGTTTATTTCTCGGTGTGAAAATTAGTGGGTGAAGTAGTGGCTAAGGTGTGATTGTAGTTATCACCGTGCGTGACTGACGTGTTTCGGCTTTGCAATGTTGTCGAGTAACAATATTAGTGAACTTGATCGTGGGTCTAATCTGGTGGCTTCACAATGTTAGTAACTCGGCAAGCTCGTTATAATTATCAATTGTTAAACGGGTGTTGTGGTCGCCGACAACGGTAGTGTTGTAGTTGTCGGTATGGTTTGTGGTCTACTAGGTGATTCAAGGCATTGGATTCTGACTGTTGAAACAGTTTTTTGAAAGAGAAATACTTCGGCTTTATAGAAGGTCGGTGCTCCATTTTACTCAGTGTGGTTTAGCATTGGGGAACTTTAGCTTTCCTCAGTGAGCTTGGTCAAGGTGGCCAATGCCTTCGCTAGAAAACGGGTATTTCTTGCAGGTGGATGACATTGCCGAGTGACATGAGAGATCTTGCCAAAGAACCTTGGTCTTCATCAGGGAAAATGATCTTCGATTTTACGTGCTCGGCAATGCTTATTCTCAGCCTTTTATCAACACCGAACAACCCTCACTCTTTGCCAAGATTGTTTCACGATTCCATTTAGTGAGTTCGGCACATATATATGATAATATTATGTTCACAGATCCTGATTTCGAGGATGGGATGTGATACGAGTTTTGGTTTGGAGTATGTTCGGCATCTTATAATTTCGGCAGTGTTCCGAAGTAGTGATGCAATGAATAAGCTACTCGGCCCCTTGGTTGGTATCATTTTTATTTTGTATTTTTTTAATAGCTTGCCAAGAACAATTCTAGAGAGAGAGAGAGAGAGAGAGAGAGTCTAGACCCAATTGTAGAACTACTAACTTCATCTTATTTTGTCAACCTTTCTAAGCAATATTGATATTCAACAAGGGTTTGATGGATGCAAACAAGATAATAAACAACTACCAACATCCACGGATACATGTCCGGATCACGGTATAACAAGGGTAAACCCGGGATCGCTATATTGATCAAATATATATATATATATATACACACTTGAACTTTAGTAATAAACATAATCAAAAAGAAAGAAGCCAAATATGCAGTTGTGGGTCTCCGTTTTGAGAAAGAGATTGGTTACCCTCTGTGCTCACTGGTTCGAGCACCTTGAGTGTCGTATCTATTCTTCTCTTCGTTGAATTCTTTAGTTCTTTCCCACAAACGGTGCCGTTTGTGAGATCCAGAAAATCCTCTCACATGGATTGTAGAGATCCAATGAAGAGATGAGCTTTTCTCCATAAATCTACAAAGATAAGCATGGTCAGCGCCACCCAACCTGAGTTTTCGGCCGGAGACATTTCGATGATAAAGTTAGTAACTTGAATCAAAGAAAGAGGATGAAGAACTGATGAGTGTGTGTGTGTGCTGTCTGGTGCTAAGAAATGAGGCATACCTTACTCCTTGGGATGCCCTTATTTTATATAGATGTGGGATGTGATATTTGGTTGGTGGGCTTGCTTGTTTGGGCAAGGCCCATTGTTAGGCCTTGTTTCGATTAGCCCCAATAAGTTGATATATTATTATTTGGATCCCACAGAACTCATTGTTTTCTTGGTGACAATGAGTTCCAGTTAGGAAAAAAAAATGGATTATTTCAGAAACGATTCCATTTGTGATCCTCTGGTCAATTTAGTTCATTAGAAATGATTTGGTGTTTAATAAAGTTTAACCTAATTGGCTTCTTCTTCCCGAGCTCATAGTGACGAGAATGGCTTTTTGCGTTAAATCTAAATCATGCTTCTCTTACATTTTTTATTTTTTATTTTTTATTTTTTTGATCTGTAAAAAAAATTTATTGATGCAAAATAAAAGTACAAGATATACGAAAATTACATCAAGAAGGCACAAAAGGCCAAGACAAAAGTATCATAATTTAAAGGCCCTATATCAACTAAGTTGAAATATGAAACAAAACCAATCAAATACAAAATTAATGACCAAAAGAGAAAAAAGAAACAAATCCAGTCAAATGCTTCTCTTGACTTTGGTGTGACCAATTTTGTGTTCCAACTGCAGTACATCAAGAAGCTTCTTTAAGATTTTTAACTGTAACAGAGGTGGTCTCCATCGAGGACTAAGTTTCTTTTTTCGAGTTGAGGTTTTAGTTTCATATTTTCTTAGTTTTCAGGGTTTCTCTTCTTTGTTAGGTCTTGGTGTTGCATAGTTTAATGTGTTATGTGTTTTTGTTAGGATTCGTCTATTTGTATGATAAATGTGGGTCCCATACGGTTATTAGGTTGGTGTATCTATGTATTTGGGTTAGGATAGTGGAATTCATAATCTACTAAGAAACCTAATATCTGTAGGATTTGGTTACTTAATTGTATAGAATTAGAATTCTTATGGGTAGACTATTAGAAATAGTCATGTGGACTATGGGATTTTATTTGAGAGAGATTAAGAGAGTAGTGAGGAAAAACAATAGAGATGTAAGGGTGAGAGAAAAAAATACCATGGACACCAGGCTAGTAAGGGCTCAACTATTTTTGAGCATGTGGTTTGGGTAATAGTGTGGGTTTTGAGTAGTTTGGCCATCTCACATGTATTCTCTATTTTATTTATAATGGAAACTCTCTCTTCCATGGATGTAGGCAATTTGAGCCGAACAACGTAAGAAGATTGTTATCAAAAAAGGATCTAGGGAAACGAGGTAGAGAGGGTTGAGGGTTTGATCCTAATCCCCAGACTATTATGTTATAGCCTCTCTAACCCTTCACTCTTTTACTAGCTAAAGTCCCAACCTAACCTTAGTTAAGCTACTGGCAAAAGAATGAATATTAAGGGTTGTGGCAAAGGCTCTAAAAATGCAGAGGGGAATGGTTTTTGTGTTTTTGAACATTTTATTGTTTTTCATTAAAAAAAAAATAGAAAAACCCACAAAAATTTGAAGTTGAACTAACGTCTATTACATCAGGAGCAATTCCAACTACACGCAGTCAAAAAGTGTGGATTATGAATTTAGGTACGGATTTGTAAAGGGAAATGAAAAAGTGAATGAAACGTAATTTTATTTTATAATTTCAAGGGGTTGGTTGCCTTAGTGGGTGCAACCTGGGACCTAAGGATGTACTATATTCAGATTTTAGGTTCACCTCTCACTAGTTGCTTTCAACTCTTTGGGGCTACGCTCGCGGGCACTATCTGAGATTTGTCCAATTCACGTGAAGAGGGCGTTTTACGTGAATTTTGAGATTAATTGAGGTGTGCATAAATTAATCCAGACACTCGGTCATAAAAAATGTAGTTATATTTTATTTATATTTCATTCATATTTTTTCTTTGTCTTTCAAAATCTATGTTCCAAACACTACATTATTGACCAATAACAAAATGGCTTTTGACTAATTCACATTGAACACAAATTTAAGAACATTAAATGACAGGGATGGACGTAGGATTCTAATATCGAGGGGGGCGAGTGTATATGTAATCAAAAAATTTGTAATGAGCATGTGATATATATCAATTTCTACCCAAATATCACAAAAATATATAATTAGATGTTTCCGTTCATCGTATATAATTACAAAATATTATCAAAATACAATTAGATATGCTTTAGTAAATCCATATTAATTTTCAAAAAAGCAACTATTTGCTTTAAATATCTACTTAGGCATCTAAAGTTGCGCTCGATGTTCTTTCATAATATAAAACGCATATATGATGGAATCTACATCAAAATCTTGAGTAATGTCTTTCTCAACATACGTTAGCAAGTAGCTTGAAAGAAAATCATCTTCCATCCTGTTGCGCAATCTAGTCTTTATAATTTTCATAGCTAAAAATGCACGTTCTGTTGTCGCCATAGAAACTGGTAAATTAGAACAAAACGAATTAATCTATCGACAAGAGGATAGATTGTTGACTTCCTTGTTATTGCCAACATTTGGTGCAAGTCAGAAATTGTCAATAACTGCTAAAACTTAGGATGTTTAAGGATGTCAATCTCGTAGTTTTGCAACTGGAATTTCAAATGTATTTTTTCTTGCTCTATAAAGTGATTAGGATAAAATTGATTTGCAAGCTTGCATATATCTTCAATTTTGAACGAATTGTAATCATCCTTAGGATCTAAAGCAGAGCTAAGAATAAGCAACTCCATCACATCTTCTTTGAATCTGTTGTTCAATTCTTGCAATTGAGGATCACATGTAATTGTAAAAATATCAACCCAAAAATGATGCTCAATAGTAATGTGATCTCTTTGGTGACAAGCACGACCTCTACTAGATGTGTAACGAGCACTCATATCAAGAATATCTATGTTATATTTTCCATCCACAAAATAGTTGAACATTCTCCGACAAAGGAATCCATTCATTTTCTCTATATTTTTGAACAAGTGCTTTTGTAGTTGACACCAAATGCATTGTATTCAATATATCTTGGGATTTACATTGCAAAACTTGGCAAAGATCATCAGTAGTCCCCATATTATCTCTCATCAAATGTAAGATAAACACAAACTTTAAAGATGTAATCTTATCATAAACTCCATCAGCATCTGCATGTTAAGTAGAGGTGGCTCCATCATTGATGACATTAGTTAAGACTGAACAAGTTGCTCTAAACATATTTATCAAACTGGAAATAAATCCCAAGTAAGAACTCCATCGAGTATCTCCAACCCGTTTAAATGTCCCAACTTGATTTTTTCCTTTACCAGTTTCAACTTCATTAATGGCAAGTTTTGCTACAATTTCTTCAGCTTGAGCAACTTTCAACTGATCATGCCTTTTACAAGAAGAGCCACATAGATTAACTGTGAGATCCAGATAAGAAAAAAATTGGACAACGGCTATAACCTCTCTTGCTGTTGCTACCAATGCTAATTGGAGTCGATGAGCAAAGCAATGAACATAATATGTAAAATGATTGTCATGAAGAAATAAGGCCGGTAACCCAGTCCACTCTCCACGCATATTACAAGCACCATCATAGCCTTGACCACAAATATTTTGTACACTGAGATTATGATGAGATAGGACAATATATATTTCTTCTTTCAAAGTTGCTGATGTTGTATCCGATACATGAACTATGTCAAAAAAATGCTCCTTTATAAAACCATCTTTATCAACAAATCGTAGAACAATGGCCATTTGCTCCCTCTTTGATTCATCTCGAGCTTCATCCACTATAATGCAAAATTTTGCTTCATGAATCTCCTCAAGAATGCATCTTTGTATTTTGTCAAAGAAAATAATAAGAATCTCTTTTTGAATTCAATGCGAGGAGTATGAAGCATTTTGAGGAGCTGTGTAACACAACATCTGCCACATCTGCATTATAAGATGCCAAGAGCTTTATCAATTCAATAATATTTTCTTGATTATTAGAATCATGACTTTCATCACAACCTCTAAATGCACAAGCATGAAATGTAAGCCATTTGACAGCATCTATTGTAGTCTTCAACCACAAACGATTTTTGGCAACTTGTTGAGAAGTTTGTTTCTCAACTAATTTCTCAATGTGTTGCGCTTGAATTGTTAAATCATGGCAAGATTTGATAACAATTCTGTGCGATGAATTAGGGTCCTTTCCAATATGAGTTAAGAAAGCACAATTCTTCCCACTATTGACTTTCTTCCATGAAGAAAATCCATCAGAAATGAAAGCGCTAGAAGTAGTGAGTCCATTTGGTTTTGTAAAAAGATAGCAAGGACGACAAAAGGCACAATGATTGGTTGGAGAATATTCTAGCCGATCTAGAAATAACTTGTACCAAGAAGCTAGAAAATGATGCCCATTCTTCTCTTCAAAAGGTTGGTTATCAGGTTGGTATGGTCCAAATTTGATGTAAGCTCGTCGAATCTCATCACGTTGAGATATCAAATACTCCCAAATTTGTGGTCATAGTCCTGGATCCCTTACCAAAGAAGATGTATCAACTTCTTTGGATTCTATTCTAGGCACTTCACGGGGACGTTGTTCAGGAATTGAAGCTTCAACATTATCAGTGAAATGTTTTGTAGTTGCATTAACTTCTATATCTTGAGAGCCTATTTTCTTAAAGAAAGAATCAATTTTATTTAAGAACCTAAAAATTATTAAACAATTTTTGTTACTCACTAGGTAAGAAGCACACTAACAATATAATCTAATCTAACAAAGGATATGTCATTTTCAATGGGTAAACAATAAAAATGTTCAGAGTAATAGAATTTTTAACCCCAACGAGGTGAATTGCATCCAAATTGAAGTGAATTGCAATGAAATTAAAGATATTTATTATTATTATTATTATTATTATTATTATTATTATTTAAGCCTACAGTAAATGCTTGGTTTTGCAACCATAGCAAGAGAAGATTTCGATTTCATTTTGATTAGTTTTCCTCCATCTCAGCAACCAAACAAAGTATATTTAGATTTTTGTCATTTCCAAAAACGAGATTAATCATTTAAAAAAATCAAACAACAAATGAGCAAATAAATTTGAAAAAAAAATTTGAAGAGATTAGTATTACCTAGAAGTGAAAAAGTGAAAAAGGAATAAGAGGATGTATGGTTTGATTCACTGTATTGTCTCCATTTGTTGTTTCAGTGCGAGCCTGTGAGGTCTGAGAGATTTGTGAGTTCTTTTCCAAGCTTTCATATCATTTACACACACACTCAGAGAGAGAGAGAGAGAGAGAGTAAAGTGGAGAAGGGGGCTTAAACAATTAGGTTAATAAGAATTTGGGGCATTTTCAAGCGTGGGCAGGTTACACGTGAGTAGTATTTTTTTATATTTTGTATTTAGTTATAACCAAGCAATTAAATATTTTGGGCCCTAATCAGACAAAAAAGGACTTTAACATATTAACAAATAAATTCTCAATTGTTTTAACATTACTAAATTTAAAATAAAAAGTAATCATACTTAAAAAATAAATTATTATTATTATTATTTTTAGTATTTATCAAAATAATAATTAAATTTTAAAGTAGAAAATTTAAGGAGTGGTAGTTCTTAAATTTTTTGTAAAAATTTTAAAGTGGCGAACCTATATAATTTTAAAATATTTATAATTTTAATATTATGTTTAAGGAATTTTTTAAAAACTTTTTTATTTTGTGCGCGGGGGGATTCGCGTTTGCCAACCCCCATCCCAATGCAAATTATAAACGAATGTTAATATGGTTTAAAAACGTGAGTAATGCCGTCGCTATCTATTTTTCTTACATTATTCTATTATTTTAGTTTAATTGTTAATATTAGACATAATGTGAGTGATGAGATTCATTTCATTAATATTTTATTGACAAATAGAATAATAGATATAACATGACATAAAAAATATGCTAGGCATGCAAAAATATTATATATTTTTTATTGCACAAACTTTTATGCAATATATATATTTTGAGAAGATGATTATAATCAATTTTTTGGTAAAAAATTACTTATAAACAGTTTATAAGCAGTTTTTTGTGAGAAATGAAGTGGGTTATAATCTGGGAAGCGGATTATAATCTACTTCCCAAAATGGCCCACAATTTATTTAAACTCCATCATACAGGCCTTAAAAAATATATTAACAAAATTTAATTATTTATTGGTTAAGATTTTAATAAGCCTCCGTTTGAAAAGTAGGTTGACGTTTTGACTTTTTGATTTTTTTGATTATTTTAGCATGGGTTAAAAAACTTAGTTTGGAAAGGACTTTTTAGTTTTTAGTTTTTTTAACTTTTTTTTGTAAAAAAATATAATAATTATAAATTAAATGTAATATTTTATTTATTATGATTCAATAATTTATTTTATTTTTTATAACTATTTTAATTCCAAACTCACTTGCCACCTAAGTATCTTCTTGATGCATCACTTACCTTGCCTTTTTCTTGGGTAAGCAATCACTTACCTAGTCTGTTGTGTATAATTGCATGCTTCCGTCAAAGACATGATTAGATGCATAAAGTGGAGGTAATAGAACATACACAAACAACAAGATCTTCATCCTTCTTACATTTTTAAAATATTTAATTCCTTTTATACCCAAGTTAATTGTTTTCTATCAAGACAACAAAATTTGTAATTCTATGGGTGCCTTCGGCAACGTTTACGTTTTTAATTTATATTTACAAAAAATTTATAAATTAGTTTTTATTTATTTTTAGAAAAATGTAGACTAAAAACACGTTTGGTAATTGACAAATGTTTAAAAAAATTTAAAAATATAAAAAGAGTGAAAAATGACAAGTGGTGACAAGTGACGGCGGAAGACGGTAGTGGAAAGTGGTGACGGTGGGTGGTGGGTAGCTGGTGGTGGTGGGGGTGGTGGCTGTGGTGGTGGTGGGGGGTGGTGGTGGTAGGTGGGTGGCGGATGGCGGATGGCAGGTGGGTGGTAGGTGGTGATGGTGGGTGGGTGGGTGACGGTGATGGGTGGTAGCGAGTGGGTGGTGGTGATGGCGGTGGCGGTGGCGATGGCGGGTGGTGGTGGTGGTGGTGGTGGGATGGTTTATTAAATCGTAATGGACGGTTGCTTTATAAAGGGAGACGATCAAAGTCCAGGCTAGATTATCTTTTAATTATGGTAAGTCCTACACAAGTAAATATCAAGTATGACTGAGTCTAGACTATCTTTTAACTATGTAAGTCCTACCCAAGTAAATATCAAGTATGACGGGAATATGACGTCATCGTATCACCAATCAATGAAAGAACGGCAAAGCCGCATTTTCAAGCGTGGGCAGGTTACACGTGAGTAGTATTTTTTTATATTTTGTATTTAGTTATAACCAAGCAATTAAATATTTTGGGCCTAATCAGACAAAAAAGGACTTTAACATATTAACAAATAAATTCTCAATTGTTTTAACATTACTAAATTTAAAATAAAAAGTAATCATACTTAAAAATAAATTATTATTATTATTATTTTTAGTATTATCAAAATAATAAATTAAATTTTAAAGTAGAAAAATTTAAGGAGTGGTAGTCTTAAATTTTTTGTAAAAATTTTAAAGTGGCGAACCTATATAATTTTAAAATATTTATAATTTTAATATTATGTTTAAGGAATTTTTTAAAAACTTTTTTATTTTGTGCGCGGGGGATTCGCGTTTGCCAACCCCATCCCAATGCAAATTATAACGAATGTTAATATGGTTTAAAAACGTGAGTAATGCCGTCGCTATCTATTTTTCTTACATTATTCTATTATTTTAGTTTAATTATTAATATTAGACATAATGTGAGTGATGAGATTCATTTCATTAATATTTTATTGACAAATAGGAATAATAGATATAACATGACATAAAAAATATGCTAGGCATGCAAAAATATTATATATTTTTTATTGCACAAACTTTTATGCAATAATATATTTTGAGAAGATGATTATAATCAATTTTTTGGTAAAAAATTACTTATAAACAGTTTATAAGCAGTTTTTTGTGGAGAAATGAAGTGGGTTATAATCTGGGAAGCGGTTATAATCTACTTCCAAAATGGCCCACAATTTATTTAAACTCCATCATACAGGCCCTTAAAAAATATATTAACAAAATTTAATTATTTATTGGTTAAGATTTTAATAAGCCTCCGTTTGGAAAGTAGGTTGACGTTTTGACTTTTGATTTTTTTGATTATTTTTAGCATGGGTTAAAAAACTTAGTTTGGAAAGGACTTTTTAGTTTTAGTTTTTTTAACTTTTTTTTGTAAAAAAATATAATAATTATAAATTAAATGTAATATTTTATTTATTATGATTAATTAATTTATTTTATTTTTTATAACTATTTTAATTCCAAACTCACTTGCCACCTAAGTATCTTCTTGATGCATCACTTACCTTGCCTTTTTCTTGGGTATAGCAATCACTTACCTAGTCTGTTGTGTATAATTGCATGCTTCCGTCAAAGACATGATTAGATGCATAAAGTGGAGGTAATAGAACATACACAAACAACAGATCTTCATCCTTCTTACATTTTTAAAATATTTAATTTCCTTTTATATACCCAAGTTAATTGTTTTTCTATCAAGACAACAAAATTTGTAATTCTATGGGTGCCTTCGGCAACGTTTACGTTTTTAATTTATATTTACAAAAAATTTATAAATTAGTTTTTATTTATTTTTTAGAAAAATGTAGACTAAAAAACACGTTTGGTAATTGACAAATGTTTAAAAAAATTTTAAAAATATAAAAAGAGGAAAAATGACAAGTGGTGACAAGTGACGGCGGAAGACGGTAGTGGAAAGTGGTGACGGTGGGTGGTGGGTAGCTGGTGGTGGTGGGGTGGTGGCTGTGGTGGTGGTGGGGGGTGGGTGGGTGACGTGTGGTGGGGTGTGGGGTGGCAGATGGCAGATGGTGGGTGGTGGTGGGGTGGTAGCGAGTGGGTGGTGGTGGTGGTCGCGGGCGGTGGGTTGGTGTGGTGGGTGGTGGCAGGTAGGTGGCGGATGGCAGTAGTGGTAGGTGGTAACGGGTGGTGGTAGTGGTGGGGTGGGGTGGGTGATGGTGGCGGTGGTAGGTGATAGCGAGTGGGTGGTGGTGGCATGTGGGTTGTGGGTGATGGCGTGTGTGGTGGTAGTGGTGGTGGCGGTGGATAGCAGGTGGCTGGTGGTGGTGGGTGGCTGGTGATGGATGATGATGGCAGGTGGGTGGCAAGTAGGTGGCGGGTAGTGGTGGCGGGTGGTGGATAGTTGTTGCGGGTGCTGGTGTGTGGATGGCAGGTGGGTGGTGGGTGGTGGTGGCGACGCGCGGCAGCGGCGGCGAGGGGTGGATGGTGGTGGCGAGTGGATGGCAGGTGGGGGTGAATGGTGGGTGGGTGGTGCGTGGTAGTGGCAGGTGGGTGATGAGTGGTGGTGACAGGTGGTGGTGGGGGGTGGGTGGA